ATATATAACTGTTCAATCATAGTTGAGTTTAATTTATCCTATTTTTGCCTGTTAACACTCTACTACACTTATAATACCATTTCAATGCACAATCAGAGCCACCCTTACTATCTTGTTTGCATTGTTTTTGAAAGATTGGTATTAGTCTTCCCCACATTTACTTACGTTTTTGAAAAGTTTATTCTTTATTTGTTAGTATTAGATTTGGATTGCACAAATTTCTCAGCAGTAATACTTTATATTTTCTACAAATATTTCAGATCAGTATATATTTTGTTTTCTATTACTAAGGTACAACACATTTGGTTGTAAGTTCCCATGAATGGCAAGTTAATCTACATCTTCTTGTTATAGGATAATTTATCATTCTAGAAACTTTACAGGAGTAATTTGCAGTGTCTTTAAAGATACAATGATCCTATTCTGTCTAGTTACCAATTACCAATTAACCAGATGAAATGCTTTTATAAGTAAGTTAAAACAATTTGATTAATTACTTTAATAAAATAGCATACCTTACTTATCACTTCTTATGTAGAAAATATTCACTGACTGTTCGCTATGAGAAGTATGAATCCATATTATTTCATTGCATTCTTGACTGATAAAGACTCAATCTGGTAAAATGCCAAACAAACGTTGCAATTAAAGGAAAATTATTTGATGTAAAGAACACTTTGTGGATATTTTTTACATATCAATTTGTCTACTTTATGACATTTAAAAGAGAAGTATATTTCTTCTAAATTGACATTTGATCTTTACTTTCAGTTACTAAGACACGCAAGGTAATGATAGGAGAACAACATTGCTTCACCAGTTCAACTATAATGTCAGTGTAAATTAAATCAACCTGATACATGGAAATCACATAAAATATGAAATTTAATTAAATCCAGAAGTTACAATGAAATCAAATATGTTTCACTAAATCAGGAAGATACAGTAGAATCACCTGTGTTATGAGTTCTAATTAAATCAAGTTAGTACAATGAAGTCACCTATGATATGAATTTTAAGTCAATAGAGTAAAATACACTGAAATCTACTATTATATGAATTTTAATTAAGTAGACTAAGTATAGTGAAATAGGATCCAGACATTTTATTACAAATATTTAGTTACTGGGCATTTTGTTACTGTCACGTTGTTGCTAGGACAACTTGTGACAGGTACATTCTTGTTACATCATTTTTGTTACATGGCAGTTTTTGTTACAAATACTGATTTTGTGACAGATAATTTTTTAAATACAAAGTTGATTGGTTACCATAATAAAAAATGATAATAGATCATAAATTTTACAATTGTTTGGGAACCATTCAAAAATTACATAATGCTATGGGGTGAGAAGGTGTTTAAGCATGTATTATGATGTGTTACATGGAAGAAGGGGATGTCATGAACAGTGTTACATAAAACATAAATTACAGTGAAAACAAGTTAGGTCTACTAATCTTTAGTTGTAGTTTAACATACTTTGATTTGAATTCAAAACACCTTTAATAACTTGAACATTTGTAAACACAATACATGTATCATTTTTGCATAATAACTTGTTTAGTCAGATTTTACATGTCTACTAAGGTACGTATTTGACCACCAAAACGAAATGTCTGTCGGAAAGGAAACATTTTACTTCTTATTAAATCTAGTAACAACATTCACCAATCATAAAATACGCTTGTAACAAAACCTTTCATAACAACGTGATGGTAACTTGGATATCATAAAATATTGTCGAAGCAAATAGTCCACATCACAAGCTGTCCATAACAAAATATTTCAGACTCTAGTGAAATCAACTATCATATGAGTTTAAATTAAAGCTAACATGTACAATGAAATAAACTGTAATATCAGTTTTTGACTAAGCCTACTAAGTAAAATTAAATATATTATGACGTTAATCTTAAGTAAACCTAGCAGGTGTAATGAATAAAGTGTGGTAGAACAATCCCTATAAAACTAATGATGCTTCGCAATATTTAGTCTAAATAATTGAAACTTAAATGAAATTATTTTAAAAAATTCAATAAACCAATGACCATTCTTATTTCTGTATAAAAACATTCTTATGAAAGAAATCAAATGGTGTAGGCTTGAAATATTTTTAGGTAGTATTATTACATACAAGAATACTAATAAATAGAGTTATCATATTTAAATTTCTTTTATTGAACTTACAATAAGAAATTGATAGGAAATGTAATGCAGTATTATGTTTATTAAAAATATATCAAAGATAAATAGTTAATATATGGAAAAAATATTGCTTTTTTGTTCAGTTTTTCAGTCCACATACAGCTAAGATAGACCTGTGTGAGTAAATTCTGTACATAGTTGTGCCCTACATCAAGAAGTTTAGTAGGAAAATATGAGTTTACAACTTAATAATAGTAGTCCAGATTGTTGACTTATATACATTTACAGACATAGCCTACTTTTCCCTATTACTTGTGCAAAAAGGACAGTTGTTATTGCGAGTACACAAAAAATAAATATGTAGTTTGCTTTTGAAATTGGTTTAAACATTTATTGATTGGAAAAACAAAATTTTTGCTAAAATGAAGATTGATGAAATAATCATCCACCAACAGTTATTCTTAAAGAGAAGATTGTTGAAATAGTTATTCATCAACAGTTGTTCTTAAAGTGAAGATTGATGAAATGATAATCAACAAACAGTTGTTCTTAAAGTGAAGATTGAGGAAATGATAATCAACAAACAGTTGTTCTTAAAGTGAAGATTGAGGAAATGATAATCAACAAACAGTTGTTCTTAAAGTGAAGATTGAGGAAATGATAATCAACAAACAGTTGTTCTTAAAGTGAAGATTGAGGAAATGATAATCAACAAACAATTGTTCTTAAAGTGAAGATTGAGGAAATGATAATCAACAAACAGTTGTTCTTAAAGTGAAGATTGAGGAAATGATAATCAACAAACAGTTGTTCTTAAAGTGAAGATTGAGGAAATGATAATCAACAAACAATTGTTCTTAAAGTGAAGATTGAGGAAATGATAATCAACAAACAGTTGTTCTTAAAGTGAAGATTGATGAAATAATCATCAGCAAACCATTGTTCTTGAAATGAAGATTGATGGTACAATCATTAACAAACAGTTCTTTCTGAAGTGAAGATTGATGAGGTGATCATCAGTAGAATGAAACTGAGTGGTTTGAACAAGAACTATGACAAAATAATTGGCTTCTTAAAACGAGACTGAGATACTGGCACAGTCCTTTTTTACTAATTTATTGAATTTTTAATGTGATTTTAAGTATGTCTTATTAATGCAAAAATTATTAGCAGTTATGTGTACCTTATTTCTTTTTTCTCTTCTTTTTTGTTATTGTGAAAATTATATTCAACATAATGTGCTTTAATGATTCACTTTTCTGTATTATTAGCATATTTTTGTAGCTCCTGCGAGTTTTCAGATTTTATAATTAGTGATATTCTACAGATCCTGTCACATTTCAAGGCTTCAGTGGCCTACAGTACATTGTTGAATTTGAAGAAAAAATTTGATTCATAGTTAAAAGAAAAGAACACACATTAATTTACATAAACACAAAATTCAACATGGTTTCCAGGCAGACAGCTTGTATATGAAGCACATATAGTATAGGTTTTGCTCTTTAAAAACATTAATTAATCCAGAATATTTACTTATCTTTGTTGCTGGCTTACTTTTCTCTAATTGATTGATTCTGCTTTTTGTAGGGGTGGAAACTTCACTAAAAGGATTATTATCAGTTTAATCATCACTGTTGTCATGTTCATTGTGAGTGTGGCACTAGCCATTTTGGACTCTTCTGACTGTAAGCTTACTTTGAATGTGTTTTATTGTTAAAAATGAGATGAGACGAAATATTTTTTATAGTGTTGGTAGTAATGCCTAGCTTTTATCTAGTGAATTTCAGTAATAATATGTTGAACACTATCTCATAATAATCTTTCAAAGTTATTGTTAGATAATATCTTAAGTAATTCACCACTCTTTGACCATGTAGAGTTATTTGGTTCCTAACCTCCACCAAGCATCTTAAAACATAGCTTTTATAGCATGACATAACTGTCCATTCAAATTCTTTAAGCATGTTAGCTAAAGCTAGTAATGAATGGAATCTCCTACAATAATAAATCTGTTAATTAATAGTATGATACTACAGCTTGATCGATGCAGTGTTTGCATATTTCAACTTTCTATGAGACTTTGAATGCAAGTAAAAAAAAATACTGATAGATCAATATCTTGGATACTGTTAGTATGTTTTATTAATATAGTCTTCCATGTGTTGATAATAGTTTATACATATCACAAACTAGTTTTATGTTTAACTATTTTCATGATTAGATTTATTTATTTGAGTTTTTAGGTAAATGTGTTATAATTATTTCTCTTTTGCAGTTGATGAAGTAAATTAATGTTGTTGATTTGCAATAAATTGAATATTAGTTATGATAAAAATGATAAAAAATCAAACAAAACAGTAGTAGTAGATAATATTATTTTTAAAATGGTTTATAGTTGTGCAACTATAAAATGTAACCTTAACATATCACTAAAATATGGTACTGCTATGTTTTTCATTGCATGTATTAAAAAGTACATAAACATATTATTTTACTAATAATTTCAAAAGTACTATTTCACATAAGACCAATACTTTTTTGCTTTCATTATTAACATGCTTACTTGCTACAGGTACTGTGTGCAGTACATTGTTCATAATTTATTATGATAAAAACATTGTTCAACTTTCATTCTGATAAAAACATTGTTCATCTTTGTTTGAGTTTTGCAAGAATTACCGTAATGGTGGTACTTTATTATCCCCCCAAAAGTTACTTTTGTATTTATACTAATTAGTATAGGTGTTTTGTAGTGGTCTGGAGAAGCTTGAGTTATTCTACCAAGTCATCATAATTAAGATAGGTGTTTTACAGTATTCCATGAAAAACATGAATTATTCTGGAAAACTACTTTTGTGTTTAACCTTATTAATATAAGTCTTTTTTTTTATGGTGTTCCAAAACAAACATAAAATTTTAGGAAGTTATAGGTTTGTAGATTTCCTAATTAATATAGGTGTTTGTCAATGTTCGAGGGCAAGCATGAGCTCTGTTGTACATGTTATTAGCTCTAAAGACACCAACAGCACCTTATATGATAAAAATACAGTAATTTTGAATGTTACATCTCATGATTTATTGGTTTACATATTTAAATAACTGTTGGTAAAATAATAAAGAAAGGATCACTCACTGATAATTACTTCAAAATAAACAATACTTATAGATGAATAAAAGGTTGATTCAAAGTCAGTTTATTTCATGGATTAGTGTTTGGTTGTAATTGAGATAAAATTGATATATTTCAACCTATATGAAGACTGAAAATGATGCAAACTAAGTTAGGGTAAGAAGCTGCCATCTACTGGTTACAAAAGCTACTACTTGCAACAAAAAAAAGAAAAAAAGAGGGGGCTCTCAAATTATTTTGTAATAATAAAATAAAACATGAATGATATTTATGGAGTTTAAGTTTTGTGATAATAGAAGAATTAGTTATGTTAAGTAAATAAGTAAATTTATAAGTAAATTATATAAATAAAAAATATTTTAACTACTGTTCATTATAGTACCCATTGGTATGCAGGTTGTAATTTTCAGTTTTCAAAAACAAAAATATTAAGAGGGATATTTATTAGATTCAGGTTGTATTAACAAGGCTTTATGTTTCTTTGATTAGGGCCAGGGCTGTTCTTCTATATAACCATGGCCTCAATTGTCCTGATGAGTAGTAAGTAAATGATCTTTATCTTTAAATTACGTAATAAATACACTAATACACTAATAAATAGGCTTCCACTTGCAGCTTTAAATATAATATTTTCACATAAAAAAGATCTACAAATATGCTGTTTTGAAACATTTTATAGAAGAAAATATCACTAACATACTAACACACACATACAAACGATTAATAAAGAAGTATTATATAACTTACAAGCCTCAATGAAATGAAACAAAATCCATGTTCAACCTGGAACTGTAATGTTCAGTATAGCTAGGTAGGTAGTAAGGAATGTTATAATGTACATAACATAACATTAAAGAACAACAGGGACCTTTGTTTCATCTGGGCTATCCTATCCACTAAATTAAACCAAATCCTTAAAAGAAGAAAAAGAGGAGGAAATCTCAAAGCCAGTCCTTGTAATTTGAATATTTATCAAGCCTTTAATTTAACTGCATCTACCACATCTGAAGGCAACCTATTCCAATGGCCAACCACTTTGTTAGAAAAAGAACTGAAAATGACTCCTACTTTCCTAAAACTTATACTAGTGTCCTCCTACTCTTACCTTTTTCACCATTAAATATAAGAAATAAAGATGGTGCTTTGACACATTAATTCCTTTAATGGTCTTAAATACCTCAATCATATTCTCTCCGACTCTTCTTTTTTTTTTCAAGATAAAACAATTTCTTAGATCTTAATCTATCCTCATATAACCATCTTTCTTTCCCAGGTATCATCCTAGTAGCCTTCCCCTGAACATTTTCCAACAATTCAAAGTCCTTTATAAGATATGGAGCGTAAGACACATTACTCGAAATCTGGCCTAACCAATGACTTATACAATGACATTATAACATCTTTAGAGCTGTATTCAATATTTCTGTTGATACCACTAGCAAAAGCGCTTTGTATGGATGGCTTAAAAGACTATCAACTAAAACACCATGATCCTTCTCTTCTATAACACTGTTAAGGTTAATTCCATCTAATTTATATGCATACTTCAAATTGTGATTTCCAACATGCAATACCTTTCATTTGTTATAATTAAGAGCCATCTGCCATTTATTTACCCAACTCACCAAATAATCCAAATCCTTTTTTAATGCAGTAGCATCTTTCTTACGACCAGTAAATCCCAAAACGTAAATGTTATCAGCCATATTAAATACTTTATTAATAATTCCTTCATCTGTGTTATTGATGTAAATTAAAAAGAAATGTAAGCCCCAACACTGAACCCTGAGTTACCCCACTTGTGACATGAATGCAGCTTGACTTAACTGCACTTATATTAAACAACTCTGCTCTTTTCTATCTTGCCAGTTTTCTATCCCAATGAGCCAACTTATTCTCCACATTTATCTACAGAAATCACTTTTTTTAACAACCCTTTTATGTGGCACCTTGTCAAATGCTTTTTGAAAATCAAGATACACCAAATCTACACCCATAACCTTATCTACATTGGCATCCACAGAAAATATTCTGGGGGTAGGGGGGCATCAGAGTAGTGTGAAATTGTAAAGTGAATAAAATCATATGCATATGGTGAATAAATGAAAAATGTTTCTCTTTTTTATGGGGGGGGGGAGTGCCCTCTTGCAGACATACATGCTCATTTATATAAATAAACTTGTTTAAAGAACATCAAAATATTAGTAAGGCAAGACTTTTTTCCAAGTAAAACCATGTTGACTATCCAACAAAATTTCAAACTTTATTAAATGACTTTGTAAAGCATCTTTTATGAGACGTTTCAAAACATGTCCCACTACTGATGTAAGACTAATCTATATATATATAAAGACAAAATGTTTGTTTGTTTAAACCCTAACTCCTCTGAGCCAATAGGGCCAATCTCAACCAAAATTTGTATGTAAACACTATTAACTACAGGGAATGGCCTAAGGGGGGCAAAATTGAACTTAACCCTATTTCTATTTTGTAAAGCATGTTGGATAATTACTCTCAAGCTATTGAGTTAATCTCAAACAATCTTGACAGGTTGTTGCTTTAGACAGTGTTGAATATTCTAAAGGGATTCAAGGTCAAAGTATGAAAGTTGCTGGATTCTTTCTCAAACATCTATGATTTTCTCATAGTCAGTGAGATGTAGGGTGTTCAAGGGTGGGATCACCTCAAAATCTTTATTTGTTGGTAGATAGAAAACAAACTTCAAATGTTGTTGATGAAGAAGATTTGTTATAATTTTAAAATTTTGAGATAAAGTTTATGTTCAAGTTATTACTTTGAAATATATGATTGCTGTTAAACTTGCATTGTTTTAATTATGTTTAAACATTCCTCTTCAGTTGATGGGTATTTCAACTTGTAGGCCTATAAGTTATAATTACTGGGACAATTTCAATCACCCCCTTGAAACAAAAGAATAATATTAGCTAACTTCTAATTTTCTGACACCTGCCCTCTGTTTGAGAGCTTGGCAAAATAGTAGCAAGTGGCTCACATATCTAATTCTTAACCTCCTAAACTTTTGGGTAAATAATATCTGTTCCAGGAGCTTTATCATTCTTTAAACTTCGAAGTTTTTTCTTAAACAACTCGCAATTAATATTATCTTCTTGTTCAATTTTTTTTCCTACCTAGGAACTTATCAGGATGACAAATATTGCTTAAATCTTCATTTATCAACACTTGAAGAAATTTGTTTAAGAGAATAGATAGTTAATATGTACAAGAATTTTGATAATGGTTTCTTCTAATACAATTACAATTAGTTTTTTACCTGGTTTATTTAGGCTTTAGTATACAAGTATTCTGATACTCAGTAATGAATACTTTTAGGCAAACAGAGTACCTAAACTGAGTTATAAAATCATAACATTAATTAATTTAAACTTATTTCACTAAATGTAACATAATTGTAGAATTTTGGCTTTAACTCTTTGGGCAAGGGTAAGTAGAAGTGTGCATGTCATTACTTTGTTACAGTTACATTCAGAATTTAGTTAAACTACTTTATTATAAACATACATTAGTAAACTTGACATCCAAAATGTAGTTAGTAAATTACAACTTATTATTGTATAAATTTTAATTTTTTAGTTTGAAAAGGATATATTTAAATATACTCTCAGTCTTCATTTCTCTGTATCACATGACATTTGTTTCCTCTGAATTGCTCAGTTTAGACATTCTTTTCATCACTATTTCATTTTCTTAATTTTAATACAAATTACAAAATTATAAATATTCCTAAGACATCTAAATTTATAGCCTCCAATCATCTTGATTTACAGAGACATAAACCAAAAGTTAAATTGACATGCCACACCCTCTTTTCACATACTGTCTTTCAAAAACTGATAGTAATTCTCTCTACTACTTCATTATTTATAACCAAAAGAAGGAGAAGAATTTAATTTTCTGAAGTACATAATAAGCTAGCTTTTTTTAATAACAGCTATGAAGTTATTTGCTTATGGATTCAAAGCTGCTAATGCTAAGTTCAATTAGACCAATTAAGGGAAATATTTAATGCACTTATAACTTAGTAAGAAAGCCAGTAAAATTAGAAAAATTATAGGACACTATATTGTTTGTTCATGTTATTATTTTGTGTTCGTAAGTGAATGTTTGTAACTAATAAATAAAAATTCAGTAAAGTTTTAACAATAACCTTATCAAAAATGTTTTGTGGTGTTTACAATGTTGGTAAAAATACTCCAAGCCCACATAATGTTAGTGTACAGAAAATAACACATAAAATATAAAGTTTTTCAAAAAAAGAACTTTTGATATTAATTTAGAAGATTCTAGAGATTATGTAAATAAAATTTGAAAACTGCAAGATGAAAAAATGTATTTTTAATTGTAACATGAAAATGACTTTGAACTTAGTCTAGTTAGGCTCTGAGACAGACTATGACTCCATACATTCACTGACAAACCATTAATAAAAATTCTTAATTGAAAAATAAGATTTTTCGTTTACAGAAAACTGGTGATGTGTACTGAAAACTTACTAAATTTTATGAATATACACATATCACATTGAAAGTTATAGTATGTACACTTACATGATTACAAAGTGGTTTCAGGGTTGGTCAAAATGACCAAGTCTTTATAGAGAGGCTTTTTGCTTGTTTCTGTAGGAGCTGAAATGTCATCCCACTCTAGAAACAGTCAAATCACTGCCATGTTTACACCACCAAATCTACCATTCAAACAACATGTAACATAATCATTAAACATTTAAAATTTTTCTCAAGTATAATTTTTAATCTATTAAATTTTAACAGATGTTCTTTCATTTTAATTTTACATTTATACATACTTTCAGTGGGCAATGGTGTGTATCAGAATTGCATTTATGGACTAGCAGCTAAGTTGCCAATGAAGTTCTCCAATGCTATTCTTGTGGGAACAGTATGTATTTATTTTTTTATTAACTGATCAATTAGTCATTTCTGGTTTAACTTTTATGAAAAACATTTTACAGTAACATTAATACCTCTTGTTGTATAAAAACTTAACTTTAAAGCCTCCATGTAACATCTTTGAAAAATCAAATTAGATTTGTCTATATAATATTTTTTCAAATCGTCTCTTTTAGCTCTTAATATTAACTTGTTTTTGTTCTGTCAATGTATTGTATCCTCAAAACAAACATCAGTTAAAATCAGCTCTTTTTGTTTTAGTCAAAGCAATTCTTAGTTTTTAAAATTGAACTATTTATTTTTTATCAGTGTATTGTATCATCTATTTATAAACATTGTTCAAAATCAACCCTCTCAGTTTTATTATCTAGTTCTTTGAGACTTGTTAGTACATAATATTATTCATAGGACTTGCCAATGTCTCAATGTTTTATTGCTTAGAGCTAAAGTATGTATGGTTTTGCTCAGTTTAATATTTGAATAAAGAGTATGTAGTGTATTAGCCTGGTAATAATTGGATAATTTACTTGTCAGTGCTAATCTAGGAGGAAAGCTTGACAGCCTCAAACTTGTATTTTTCAACAAAAAGAGTAGAATGGTAGTTTACAAACAAAATCTATACTTAGCCAACTTTCACATCTATAAGCATTTAATATCATTAGTTATCATAATTGTTTTAATTTAGTATGAAATGTAGTCAGTGATCTATTGATTAACATGGTTACATAGACCTTTCTTTGATAATGGGTATTCTGAGTACTGGGTTTCTGCAAAACTATCTTGTTCAATTCTCATTGTGTTAATCAGTATCATAAGTGTTCAAGAGCCCAATATTCATAGTTTGTTTTGTATTCTAACCTCAAAAAATATTGTTAGTTTAATTCAGAGATAAATTTACAGCCAAAATGTTAAATGGAGTTGTGTGTTTGAAGTTTCATGTATAGATTTTTGTCTAGAATTTATTACCAAATGGTTATGAATTCAAATATAGGCTCAAACCGCATAGAAAATCCATTAAGTAAAGAAACATGACACATTCATGGAAACACAAAATAAATAAAGATAGTACATGTACTAGTCTCACAGTCGTAACAAATTCAAAGAGACAGTGTTTAACATTTATGTTATTTAAGTAGGAAGACTAGATGTCATCAATTTTGGAATGTTGTCATAATGTCTCAAAAGATTGTTTTTGGTATGCCTAAATGTCTCAGTTTTCATTTTTGTCAGTTATTTGTAACTTTTTATAATTCTATTGAACACTTTGAGACCCTAGAAACTATGAATCAACAGATACAATATTTATTAACTGAGTAGGAAAATTATCTCATAACTTAGAATGACTTTTATGCTTGTATTTGCATAATTGATTGTTTATAATTTCTCTATAAAGGGTTTTCCAATTTTAAAATCTGAAATTCTGATAGTATTACGATTTTATGACTAGAAAATCTGTTCCTCTTATTTTATGAAAAAATTTTAATAGTATGATTTCAGACTTCAACTTTTAACAGTTTAACAGAAAAATTCTATCTTACTACTCAGTGTGATCTACTAAGTTTTAGTGTTAGATAATTCAACTCGGAGTGTGATGCTGCAGGTCAAGACTAAATTTTTTATTTGTTTTTTTAAGTGATGTATGTTAACAAGTTTTATAGCTAATGATTGTAGATAGTTACCCTACCCCTAACATGAGTTCTTTGCCAAGATTCACAATGGCACAGCTCATGGTATGTAACACTTTCACTATTGCAGTGGTAGCTGGCAGATCAAATCAACGTGCTCAGTTTTCAAGACTGTTGCCATGCATTTATGACATTGTAGCAGAACTTCTGATATGATATCTCACCTTTTCTCACAAAAAGCTTTCTCGACTTAGACTGCCTTCTATTGGCATAAATTTTTGTTTCCCAATAGCCTTGATACTCCCACTTATCTCTACATACTAACATGCACATGTTTATGCAACACCCTCCACCAATAGGAATGCGACACTACCCCTATTGTAACTAGTGCCCTCTCTAATCTTCCAGCTGTTAACCACTTCTAGATGGGAAGTCTTATTGAATAGACATGTTTTCACTCACAGTTTGATTCTCTTATCCACAAGTTTTTACTTTCTTAATTTTTCGACTTTAGTTACATTGTTCTTTACCATTTTCATTCTCTTTTGTGGAGTGTTACAAATTATTTTATTTATCTTCTCTCCTTTTTCAATTTCATGAGTTATACACTTACAGTTCTTGGTGGTCACGACTATAACTGCTGTTACTGTGGCAGTGGAATTACTGACCATGTCCAACAGGTCAAAACCACAATTCTCTGCCCATGAAGTGATGGCTCTGGTCTGTCAGAAGTTGACAAATTTCATGCAACAATAAGAACAACCTTATAATTGTCCTATTAAGATTTTTAATGATTGGGAAGTTTTAGATTTGGAAAGCTTTTCCCTCTTCTGCCTCTTAGTCACGTGTAATTTCAGGGAACTTGCACAGACCTCTTTTCCCTTTTGTGGATTTGATTATTCAGATATGTTATGTTATGTTCTTATTTCACAGTTGCTATGTTCTGCTGCTGTCCTTCTTGGGGACGAGCCTTTAGGTAATTATTTAGTTTTTCATCCTCCGCCAGATATTGGAGTTCATGCAAGTTGTTTTGGGGAGCACTTGCATTGAGGGGCAGTATGTCTTGACCCCCCACATACTGTGGATGATCGTGCTTTTGATTGTCATCTTTCCAACTTCCCATATTTAGATTCACAGTGTTTGATGTTTGTTCTCCGTTAGTGGGAATTGGACCCTGATAATTCAATTACCTTTTCCCATATTCATCTTACTCTGACCACCCTGGTGGAAGCCAGACTTCTTCAATTTGCCCATGTTTGAGATCCTTGGTGGTCGATACATGGGTTCTGAAAGTCGTTTCAGTAAATTTAGTCCTCTACTTCCATTCATTTTCCTTGTTGTCTCACACTCCCGTTTCATTCCCTCCTCCGTGGGATACCTTTTTTTGCCCACCTGATTAATTCTAGGGGGCCTTTGTTTCCACCATTATATGGACGTCTGGCTGCTTCTTTCCTCCTCACAAGACAACTCAGTCCTATATCCTCAGTTTCTTCTCCAGGACTCTGTCATGATGGGTTGTCTTGTCAAAGTGGAGAAGTGTTTTGTCACACCCACACAGTTTTTTGGTTCATCTTCGTGTGTTTTTCAT